GGTAGAGCGCTTGCCTGCACAGGTGAGGCACTGGGTTCCATCCTCTCCACCACAGAAAAATAAATAAAAGATATTGTGTCCAACTACACCTAATTTTTTTTTTTAAATAAAAAAGATTACTTAAAAAAAAGAGAGAGAGATTGGGGCTGGGGATGTGGCTCAAGCGGTAGCGATCCTCAGCACCACATACAAACAAAGATGTTGTGTTCGCCGAGAACTAAAAAATAAATATTAAAAAAATTCTCTCTCTCCCTCCTCTTTCACTCTCTCTTAAAAAGAGAGAGAGAGAGAGAGAGAGAGAGAGAGAGAGAGAGAGAGTTGGTTGAGGCAAAATGTTGGTTCAGGAAGTACCGCCGGGGGTGTCGCGTCGGGTGTTCAGGAACCCTGCGAGCCGGTCGCCAAGCGCAGACTTCCCAGGCCGCCGTGGTCCTGTCAGCCCAGCGATTTGGGAAGTCGTGGCCGGAGGATGGCAGGTTGGAGGCCAGCCTCAGCAGCTTAGCGAGGCCCTGTCTTGAAATGAAAATAGAAGGGGCTGGGGTGCAGCCCGGAGTGGCGCCCCTGGGCTGGGCCCCTGCGCCTTGTAAACGGCCGGACTGTCTCGCTCCGTCGGCTCTGGGGAGTGGCGTGGCGCCCAGCCCGCGGTCGGCAGGGCCGCCCTGGGCCTTGGGAAGTGTTGGTCCCCGTCCCATGGCCTGCCCGAGCTACCTGAGGCCCGGGCTCGTGGGTTTTTTTTTTTTCTTTAAGTATTTTACTTTATTTTGTGAGGTCAGGCAACGGGCGGTGACCAAAAGAGGCAGGTTTAAAAAAGGCCACTGAAGGAGACTTTATGGAGACCCACTCCGGGGGGACCGCGGTCAGATCGTCAGAATTGACCGGACAAGAGTCTGAGCAGAAACCGTAGGGCCTCCACAGGGCTGGGATTTTATGGGGCCTTCAGCAGGAAAAGAGATTTTTAGGGTCCCTTGTTCCACTGGGAACTGGCTGAACTCCAGGATTGGCCAGGAGATCCCGCTGATCGACAGGTCAGCCAGGAGATCCCGCTGATCGACAGGTCAGCCAGGAGATCCCGCTGATCGACAGGCGTTTCCGTGGGCGCCTGCTTGACGTTTCTTCCTTTGTTTCTGAGTCCCCGCTGCCCACCTGACAGATTCTATCCCCATCTTTGTGGCCTCTCTGTCTTTGGTAAGTGGAGGTGGACATACAGATAGATGCGACTGCGCATCTCTATGCTGCTCCATTGTTGGCGATGTCCACTTGGAAGTTGGAACTTGGCAATGTGGAAGAACTTACACCTTGGAAATCGGGCAAATGGTACAAAGCCAAGGCTGGAGTGCTATTTTTGTTAATTGTTAGTTAAAAGAAAGAAAATGTGTGAGGCACTGGGTTCAATCCTCAGCACAAAAGGAATGCCTGTAAACCAACGAGAAAAAGGCAGGAGATCCAGCAGAGAAAAGTGGAAAAGATGAGGCAGTGCACAGAAGCATGCCAGATCCTGGATTCAGGAATCGGATGAATCTGAATTAAAACAAGATGTTGGGTTGGGAGGTGACTCAGTGGTGGAGCACTTGCCTAACATACACAAGTCCCTGGGTTCAGTCCACAGCACTGTAAAGAGAGAAAGAAGATGCCCATTATACCCATCAGATTATACAATTAAAAAGTCATCAATCTTAAAAACAAAATACATGAATGTCCAATTGTTCCAATACCATTTGTTGAGAAGACTATCTCCACTGAACTGCTCTTGAACCTTAGCCATCTATTGTCCATGCACGTGTGAGTTCATTTCTGGAGGTTTCTCTCTTGTTATATTCATCTAGCTTTATGCCAATATCACATTGTCTTTTTTAAAAAATACTTTTATTATTTATTTTCATGTGGTGCTGAGGGTTTAACCAAGTGCCTCGAACAGGCTAGACAAGCGCTCTACCCCTGAGCCACAACCCCAATGCCCCCACACTGTCTTGATTATGAAAACTTCAGACTAAGTCTTGAAATCAGGCAGTGGTAGTTCTCCAAATTTGTTCTTCAACAAAGTTGTTTTGGTATTTTAGGTCCTCTGCATTTCCATATAAACTTAGAATTGTCTACCAAACACAACAAAAGCTCTTCTGGCATTTTGGCTGGGATTGTGTTGAATCTGTGGATCAGCAGGAATGTAGGGAGTCTTGTGAATGTGGTATATACGTTTATTTTGGTTCCTTTAAAATCTATCAGTACCATTTTGTATTTTCTATTGGATCAGTCTTGCACATCTTTTGTTTCTAAGGATTTCACTTAGATTGCAAAGGGTGTTTTAAAATTTTAGCTTCTGAGTATCTGTTGCTAGTTTACGGAAACATGGTGGATGTTTGTATGTAGGGTTTTGCACCCTGCACCCTGCACCCTTACTAACCTCACATGTTCTAGAAGTCTTACAGAGTCTGGGCCAGAGGCCTGACCAAGGATCCCACAGATCTGGTCTGGCCGCTCACGCCAAACCAAGCAGAAAAGGCAGTGGTTACGCACACAAAGGAGCTTTCATCAGAACAGCTACATTTAGGAGACGGGGACCTGTGTCCTTAGCCCTGTTGGTTTGGTTTGGTTTAGCAGTACTGAGGATCAAACCCAGGGTGCTCTGCCTGTGAGCTGCATTTCCAGCCCTTTTTATTTTTTGAGACAGGGACTTGCAAGTTGCTGGTCGTCTTGATCAGGTGAGTTCAGTGTGTCTCAGGATTGGTGGTGGTGGTGGGGTCTTGTCTAAGATTAGAAAGTTGCTATTGCCTGGAGGCAGTCTTAACTCATCAGATTTTTGTCATACCTGTTTCCTGGAATCCCAGGTAGCTCAGAGGAAATGGGGCGGAGGCAAAATGGAGGTAGAGAGGCCAAGCCGTGTGTGTGTGTGTGTGTGTGTGTGTGTGTGTGTGTGTGTGTGTGTGTATGAGTGTATGACTCGCTGCAAGGGATCAAATCCAGGGGCATGCTATCACCTAGCCACATACTCATCAGCCCTTTTTAGATTTTATTTTGAGGCAGGGTCTCATTATGTTGCCCAGGCTGGCCTTGAATCTGCTGTCCTGCTACCTCAGCTACCTGAATAGCAGGGCTTACAGGTGTAGCCACCTCTCCTGGAACAAGGTCTTTAGGCCTGCCTTTAGCCACCCATCAGACATTTGCAGACCCAGGTGAAGCATCAGAGCCCTGTCACAGGCTCTTTTTTGGTAGATCCTGTAGTTTCCTGCGAAGAAGGAAATCACCTGTGAATGTGTTCTTGAGGCTTCAGGTGTGCAGAAGCCAGGACAGTGAGTGGCACCAGGCTTCTGCAAAAAGAAAAGCTTCTTTGGGCAGCTTTATTTTTTAAGCTAAGTCTTGCCTACGTCCCATGCGGGCGGTAGAGTGGGAGTGGGAGTTCTGCGTGGAATGTGAACTGGCTGTGAAATAAAGCTAAGAAAAGAGGGTGGTACAAGAGTAATTTTGAAAAGTGAGGGCAGGATGGCTCTATGACCTTAGGGGTCCAGCTTCTACACTGGAAATAGACCAAGTGAGCCACTTTTAGGGAACAGAATGTTCTTCACCAAATAAGGCAGGAGGTGGGCTGTCCAAACCCAGTGGGTTACTCCCAATTCCAGAGCTACAGAGCTGTCCCATTGGTAGAGCAGGGCACAGATCTCACGCCTTGGGCAGTCTGCACACGGAAATTCCAGGATCATTCCCAAGGGGAGACCCAAGTTCTCCATGGCTCAGTACTGAGTAAAAGAAACTCAGGTGGCTTCACAGGTCATGTACCACAGCTAAGGACCAAAGAAAAGCCAAAAAGCTTTTTTGTTCAATGTTTTAGCTTTAAGGCTTAATGGACTGGTAAGGAGGCCAGGGGCCTCCCTGTTGGATGCTTAGTGAAGAAATTGACAGGAAGTGGGGAAAGTTGATGCAGTGCTGGCGTCTTTGGGGGAGTTATGTTCTATGCACAGGATTTGGAGTTTGTCACATCTTTTGAGTGGACACTGGCTGCATATGGTCATTTCCACTCTTGAAAAGTCAGTTCTATACCTTCACATCAGTGAGAGACCTAGAGGCTTGTCCTGAAGTTCATCCAATGATACTAGGGATAAAAGCTATATCCCCAGCCCTGGCATGACGGACTCCTCATGGCAGCCTGTGCTTGCTGCCCACATAGCTACCACTCTGCCACTTCACTGTTCCCCTACCCCTTCTCAGCAGGGACAGTGGGCTGGCTGCAGGGCTTGGTGGCCAGGGAGCCATGTCAGTAATGGTGGTGGATACTCACGTCTTCGTATAAAAGGTGGATACCTATACCCAGTGAGTGGTAGTGGGTGGATACTTCTACCTGGTGAGTGGTAGCAGGGTGGACACCTCTATCCAGTGAGTGGTAGGTAGTGGACACCTCCACCTGGTGAGTGGTACATTGTATAGTCTCTCTTTCCCTGTGATCATTAGTATCATTTTTTTATATAGTTTTGTCCCTTTTTATTTAACCCTTTTTTTCTTCTTGGTAGTGGGGATTCTACTTAGGGGTACCTCACTGAGTTATATTCCCAATCCTTTAAAACATTTTTTAAAAATTTTAAAACTGGGGCTGGGGATGTGGCTCAAGCGGTAGCGCGTTTGCCTAGCATGCGTGCGGTGCTGGGTTCGATCCTCAGCACCACATACAAATAAAAGATGTTATGTCCGCCAAAAACTAAAAAATAAATATTAAAAAATTCTTCCTCAAAAAAAAAAAAAACTTTAAAACTGGGTCTTGCTTAAGCTGCCAAGACTGGCTTCAAACCTGTGGTGCTGCTGCCTCAATCTCCTGAATCGCTCCACTCACCTCCATGGGCCACTGTGCCCAGGTAAATCTTCATGTTTGAGTTTTTAAAAAATGTTCTCTATTTTTATGTCCCAAGGCAAGTGTCACCCTAATCCCTGCATGCCTGCCTGCCTGCCTCTAGCTACCTCTACTCTCCCCCACCCCCATTTCTTTGGGTTTTATACTGGAGATTGAAAACCATGAGTGCTCTACTACTGAGCTACATCCTTAGTCTTTGTATTTTTATGTGGAGACAGCAACTCAGTACATTGTCCAGGCTGATCTCAAACTTGTGCTCCTCCTGCACCAGCCTTCCATGTAGCTGAGAAATAGGTGTTGAGAGCCTCAGCCAAGTCGGGATGGCGCCTGGCATTTTGCCAGAAGGAGTGGTTGGGAGGTGACGCCAGCAAGCCAATGGGATGATGGTAATTAAGTTAAGCTGTGTATAATTATTAATATAATGACTGATTGCTGTAACTGGATGATGCTAAATTGAAACTAGCTGTGTATTCAGTTGTGTATGTAAACCTCTGCTGTCTGGCAATAGGTGGCTCCTGATACCTCAGGTACCCGCTACTTTTGAGTTCTCGTGGAGTTCCCATTGAGTTCTCGAGGAGTTTCCATGGAGTTCTGGAGAGTTCCTATTGGGTTCGGGCAATAAAGTAGTTCCTGTTTGAACCTACAAGTGGCTCGTGACCTCCCGGTTTTGTGCCCAGCCAGACTATGGCATTTGGTGGCCCGTATGGGGAACTCCTCGCCCCTGAGGGCAGGGCGAGAGGATGGGTGACCATTGTAAGAGACAGTGTATTCTTCTTTTGATTTGTTACATTTCTGTTTCAAGCTGCCTGCCCTTAGAAATAAACCGTTCAGCCCTGAGGAAGAGATAGAGAGAGACCACGGATGCACATGTCAAGAAAATAGAAAAATTGATACAAGGAATTTTTGTTCTGCTTTGTTTCGGTTTTATTTTGTGTTATCTTGTTGGGTTGTGTTATCTTTGTAGCAGAAATATGGTATCAGAAATTAGTAAAAAACAAACCGAAAGAGTTTTAAGTAAATTGCTAGAGGAAGGAGGCACCCCAGTAAAACCAAGAACAGTTAGGGCATATGTTGGTAAGATACAAAAATGTAGACCATGGTTTCTTAAGGAGGGTTGTTAAAGATATCACAATGGAACCATCATGGTGAAGAATTTAAAAAGATAGAAAAGGAAAGCCCAGGAACTCTGCCAGTTGGCACATTACCATATGGATGTTGGTACAATCTTGTTTGCTTAGTCTAGGAGAAGACATCTTAAAAGAGGAAGTCTCCCGAGTTACTCAGACAGGGGAAGAAAGTTTTGAGAAGGAAGGGCTATCAGGGAAGAGGTTGCAACGAGAGATTGCTACTAACACCTTTATATCACCAGAGGGCGTGGGTGTCCAACCAACAGCTCCACCTATGTATACGGAGACAACATGAGCTGAGTGGCCCTCAACCCCCGTAGTTGATAGATGGGATCCTGAGACAGGACCTCAAAGATTAGCATGCCCTGTATTTGAGGAGGCAGGAGGGCAGCGAATTCACCATGCTTTAGATTTCAAAACAGTGAAACAGCTAAAAGAGGCTGTAACAACCTATGGTCCTCAAGCACCCTTCACTGTAAGTATGGTCGAATCCAATACCAACTTGAACATGACGCCAGCAGATTGGGCTAGTATGTGCAAAACTGTGCTAAATGGAGGACAATATCTGTTATGGAAGATTGCCAATCAGGAATTTTGCATGGAGACGGCTAGGCGAAATGCAGCAGCTGGTTATCCTCAGAGAAATCTAGATATGTTGTTAGGAGAGGGACCTTATGAGGGTCAGATGCACAAATTAGATATGATCCTGCCATATACTCCCAAATCATTTCAGCTGCGATTAGGGCATGGAAAACTTTACAGGGGCATGGAGATTTACAAGGTTAATTATCTAAGGTAATACAAGGAGCTAATGAACCTTACGCTGAATTTGTAGATAGGCTTATACAAACAGCTACCAGAATCTTTGGGGGATGTAGAGTAATCGATGCCATTAATAAAACAACTAGCCTATGAACAAGCAAACAGATGGTGCAGGGAGGCCATTAGACCATGGAAACATGTATATTTAAACACATATATCAAATTATGCAGAGATATTAATAAACAAGGGCAAGTCTTGGCAGCTGTAGTACAATAGGCTTTAGGTGCCAGGCCAAAAACATGCTACAATTGTGAACAAACAGGACATTTTAAAAGGAGTTGCCCCATAGGAGGAGGGTTTGACAAAACTAGGTATCAAAGGGTTAGAATACCAGGTATTTGCCCACAATGCCATAGAGGGAGACATTGGGCTAAAGAATGCCATTCTCAAACCACTATAGAGGGTACTCCGTTAACAATATCATGGAGAAAAACATTGGGTTCTATTGCCAAAAAAATGGATGGGGCGGGGGGCAATGCTCCGGGGCCCACAACCACAAATATATGGGGCATTGGAGGAACCCAGCAATACCATCAGGGTAGTACCCAGGACACATTATTCATTAGATCCCTCATTAGACAAACCAGAGGCACATCTTCGCCTCTGCCAGAGCAGTACTAACTCCAGAGATGGAGTTCAAATCATTCCCACAGGGGTAAAAGGACCTCTTCCCCAAGGAACAGTAGGCTTATTATTAGGACTCAGTTCTTCTACTCTAAAAGGACTTATGATAAGACCTGGGGTAATTGAAGGTGAAAAAAAAATTATAGCCAGTTCTCCAAGGGGTATTTCAGTAATTTCACCAGGAGATAGAATAGCACAGTTATTAATAATACCCAACCTACATGATAAATTTTCCAGTCGTAATATAGAAAGAGGTTCCAGGGGATTAGGCTCCACAGGTATAGATTGGGCTATGCTTTCTTTAAATTTAGATTCTCACCCCATGCTAAAACTAAATATTCAAGGACATGAATTTAATGGGCTACTGGATACAGGTGCAGACCTTAGCATTATCTCTCGTCAAGAATGGCCAAAATATTGGCTGTTACAACAAGCCACTCAAACGCTTCGAGGCCTAGGAGTGGCAACTAATCTCCATAGAAGTGCAATGGTATTAGATTGGAAGGATCTTGAAGGATGTGAAGGAACTATACAGCCATATATATTGGATCATCTTCCTATACATTTATGGGGACGAGATATCCTAGATCAATTAGGACTAACATTAACAAATAATATCAATTCAAATGCACCCACTATTATGGCTAGACAAGGTTTTAGGAAAGGAAAAGGATTAGGAGAAAAAGGACAATGTATAGTGGCACCATTACAAATAGATCAAGAAATAGATAAGACATGGATTGGGTTTTCAGGAGGGGTCACTGAGACAATAAAAATTACTTGGAAATCAGAAAGACCAGTATGGGTTCCTCAGTGGCCCCTGACTAAAGAAAAGATACAAGCAACCCATGACCTGGTCAAACAACAATTAGCGGAGGGACATATACAACCTTCTGTATCTCCCTATAATACTCTCATTTTTGTCATCAAAAAGAAATCTGGTAAATGGAGATTATTGCAAGATTTAAGAGCTATTAATAAGGAGATGGTTATTATGGGACCTGCTCAATTGAGGAGTCCTCAATTGTCTGCTTTGCAAAAAACCTGGCATGTTTTAGTTATAGATATTAAATACTTTTTTTTTCAATTCCAATTCATCCTGAGGATAATCCACGTTTTGCATTTACTGTCGCTGCATTCAATCATGAAGGTCCTGATGACGGGTAAGGACCATATGTAGTATTGGACAACCTAAGACAGGCACGGTCCCTAAGCCACATACTTGTTTAATTAAACAGAAGTGGGGAGATGTTAAGAGCCACAGCCAAGTTGGAATGGCTCCTGGCATTTTGCCAGAAGGAGTAGTTGGGAGGTGACACCAGCAAGCCATTGGGATGATGGTAATTAAGTTAAGCTGTGTATAATTATTAAGATAATGACTGATTGCTCTAACTGGATGATGCTAAATTGAAACAAGCTGTGTACTCAGTTGTGTATATAAACCTCTGCTGTCTGGCAATAAGGCGGCTCCTGCTACCTCGGGTGCCTGCTACTTTTGAGTTCTTGCGGAGTTCCTGTTGAGTTCCCATTGGTTCTCTTGGAGTTTCCGTGGAGTTCTGGAGAGTCCCCTTTGGGTTCGGGCAATAAAGTAGTTCCTGTTTGAACCTACAAGTGGCTCGTGACCTCCCAGTTTTGTGCCTAGTCAGACTGTGGCAAATAGGCACGTGCACCACACCAGGATGAAGCTCCGTTTTCTTACTTACTTTGGTTTTTGCTTTTCTTCCTTCCTCCCTTCATTCGTTTCTTTTTTTCTTTTTTCTTTTTTTGGTGGGGGGGACTAGGCATTTAACCCAGGGGTTCTTAACCACTGAGCCACAACTGCAGAGTTTTTTATGTTTTATTTTGAGACAGGTCTTGCTAAGTTGCTTAGGGCCTCATTGAATTGCTAAGGCTGGCCTTGAACTTGTGATCCTTCTGCCTCAGCCTTCAGAGTTCCTGGGATTGCAGGCATTTGCCACCATGCTTGAATTCTTTCTAAATACATGTGGATGCCTTTAAAATTTACACAACTGATTATGAGTGAACTTGCCTATAATTTTGTTTATATGATTTACTATGTTCATTGGCAGTTGAGGTTTACTAACCTCCTAAAATGAGTTGGCAAGATCTCCCTTCACCAATTTGCAGTTACTATGCATAAAGTCTGGTGTTAGCCAGCTTACCATTGCTGTGAGGAATGCCTGAAAGCATCAGCTAATGAAGAGGAAAGGTTTATTTGGTTCACAACTGTGGGGGTTTCCATCCAAAATTGGTTGCCCTGTCACTTTGGGGCCTGTGGTGAGGTAGAGTATCAGGTGGGAGTGTATGGCAAAATCCTTGCCCTCAGGATGCAAGAAAGGGGGAGGGAGTTCCCAGAATCCTCTTCAAGGGCATTCCCCCAGTGACCTAACCTGAGCCCCACCTTCTGAGGTTCCTATTGCCTCCCAGTAATGCCAAGCTGGTGACAAGCCTTTAAACACTGGAGCACTTGGGGACGCCCAGGTGCGAGCTGCAGGGCAGGGTCACTAGTCCTTGGCAGTCTGGTTCATCCATATCTTGGGCCTTTTAGGGCTAGGTAGTCCTTTCCATTTCTTGACTTGGAACCAGTGTCTCTTTCTTTTGCTAGTTTATAACATTTTGTATTTTTCATAAATTTATCAGTTTATATAACATCAGATTTATTTCTGGGATTTTTTGTGATGGCCTCTTTTAAAATTTTTGATTTAATTCTATATTTTTATGATTTGGACTTCTGTTAATTTCAAATTGTAAAAGTTTTGTCTTTTTTCAATAGTTTGAAAAAATGTTTTCAAGTCTTTCCTCTTTCTGCTTGCTCCTGCATCTTACCTTTGTTGTATTCCAGTACATTCTTTCTTTCTCTTTTTAAAATTTCTTTTAGTTGTGATGGACATGGTACCTTTATGTTATTTATTTATGTGGTGCTGAGGATGGAACCCAGTGCCCCAGGTATGTAAGATGAGCAGTCTACCACTGAGCCACAGCCCAGTCCTTTTCCAGTACTTTGTGTGTGTCAGGCAGACATGGGTGCTGACACCATTGCCTTTGCAGTCCAGGGCTAAGGAACCAGTCTTCCCAGCTGGTGCCACTTTGTGATGCTCACTGCTCCTGCAAATCAGTCAAATGGGAAAGATGCCTCAAGGACATGGTGTCCCTGTTCCCTCTGTCCATGGCCTTAGCTGAGAAGACTAAGAAGCTGAAAGTGACTTGGTCTTAATGGGAGGCTCCTGGTCAGATTCCTTCTGCTCACTGTTGGTCTGCTAGTGGGCAGCAGCTCACTTGTAGAGCGCAGCCTCTCCTGTGAGCCGGCAGAGTCTGCCCTCCCTTTCTGATCCAGAGAAATTTGGACTGCTTTTTTCTGACTCTCCTTTCCTTCTCTTCTGGAAATTGTGTTGACTCAGGACCTGCCTCCACTGGGCCTCTAGTCTAGAGGACATTTATTTTCCTGAGTTTCAGCTTCAGGCCTCATGCTGTGGTACCTGCCTGTCCTCTGGCTTGCACCTTAAAAAATGCCTCAAAACTCACCAGGCTGGTCTCTTCTTCCAAGTTGTCATTTCCCTCCCCAATCTGCTTGACTTTGTCCACCCTCTAAAGCTTCCCCTGTCCCTAGGATGGAACTTAGGGCCTTGACCCTTTCAGCAGTTTCTCCATCACTGAGCTGCATACCCAGCTGTAAGGTGTTTGACATTGGGAGGCTTTATGGTTAGGAATGTGGTATCCCCCAAAAGCTCACGTGTGAGACAAAACAAGAAATTTTGGAGGTGAAATGATGAGATAATGAGGTCTTTAATTTGGTCAATGGAATAATACACTGATGTGGATTTTTTGGGTGGTTACTGTAGGCAGGCAGGGTATAGCTGGAGGAGATATGTCACTAGGGGTTAATATATTGTCCCTGGAGTGCAGAGCTCTTTTGGCTTCCTGATTTCCATATTCTGAGCTACTCTCATCTGCCATGATTACTATTCAAGATAGTGGCTGACCATGGTATCAACCACATGGTGCTGTTTCTGCAGGAATGCAGGGTGCTAGAGTTAGGGGATCATGGAGGCTTCTCCTATAATTGAGAGATGCCAGGGCTAGGGTTGTGGCTCAGTGGTTGAAGCACTGGTTTTGATCCCTAGCACCACATAAAAAATGAAATAAACAAAGCTTAAAAAAAGTAAAAAGAAATGTCAATATTATGGGACATCTGCTGAGGAAAGCTGCAGGCATCAATCTGAGACAAACCAAGAGAGAGGCCATGTGGGCTACAACCAGCAAGGTCTAGGGGCAGAGCTACACAAGCCCTTTAGAGGGAGTTTTATGGTACCATGTATCCCAGCTGCTGGACACAGAACTGTAGGACTTATTTACCAGCTGGATTTCAGTCTAACTTTGATCCCATCCCTTCTTTCTATGCTTCTGTTCCTCCCCTGTGGAATGAAAATGTTTATTCTGTGTCTTTCTATGTTGGATATATGTAACTTGCTTTTGATCTTTATGGGGAAAACATCAATGGGTTTGCCTTGAGTCTCAGATGAGCTGGTAGCTCTTTTGGCCACAGCGGCAAAACACTGCCTGACAGCAGGGCTGGCTGTCAGCTCACTACACATGCTTCTCACCTTCATGGTGCATGGAGAAGTATGATGTTTATTGTTTAAGGCACCCTTGATCAGATTAGGGAAGTTCCCTTATATTCCTAATTGCTGAAGATTTTTAAAAATCAGTAAGTAATTTTAAAATCACTAAGTATTTTATCAAACATTCTTTTTTAATATTTATTTTTTAGTTATAGGTGGACACCGTATCTTTGTTTTATTTTAATGTGGTGCTGAGGGTCGAACCCAGTGCCTCACGCATGCTAGGCGTGTGCTGTACTTCTGAGCCACAACCTCAGCCCTTATCAAACATTCTTACAAAGTGTTTTGTTCTGCACATATTGATATGATTGCAGGATTTTTGCCTTTGTTCTATGAATGTGGTAAATGGATTGATTGCTTTTCAAATTAAATAAATCTTATTTTCCTGAAATAAGTCTGATTTGAACATGTTATTATTCATGTATTGCCAGGTTATCTAGTTTCTTAAAACTATTTAGAATATGCACTGCTTTGTTCATGGGTGGGAGTAACCTTAAAGATGCCTATTGAGTTTAAGGGTCAGAGCCATTCTGGGTGTGCTGGGGGGGGAGTCACATTTTGAAGTAGAGAAACCCCTGAAGGTACAGGGAGAAGCTGGAGCGTGCAGATGGCTTTCCTCAAGGAAAACCCCACGTACCAACTTAGCTCGGTATTGAGAACTAAGATCACCTTTGCCAACCAAACTTAATGTTTTTTTTTTTTCCTCCAGAAACATCTTTCTAGGAAAATATGACTAAACCATTATATAACTTCACTGCTACAGGAGAATCATGGTAAATAGTTTGCCAGTCAGTCCAGGAACCAGCTCACCTCAGAGCCTTCATCTGGATGCATCTGTGACTTTTATCACTGGCTGAGGGCTGGTCCCATCACAGCAAGGTCCTGCACTGGAAGACAGACCATCAACCACCCGAGCCCAGACTGAAGTCCATAAATTCCTCTCAGGCCGCCCACGTGGAGCAGAGGATCCTCTGCCAAGATGCAGTCCTCACTGCTACTGTCAGTTGGTAAACTCATCTGTGCTCATTGCACAAGTTTTTGCTGGGTTATTGGCAGTGAATGATCCTGAAGGTTCCTGACATCCTTTCGAGCCCCACTCATGCTTCAGAACAAGTCTGCCCTTCAGGACCAGCACCCTCCTCTTGATCCTTACACTTGGCTCCACAGCATGGGCTGCTGTGATGCTGTAGGGAGCCCGTCTGGTGAGCATATGCTCCTGCATGCCCAGCGGAAACCTCTGTACAAAAGCTCTGATGGTTTGATCAGACCGTGAGTGCTTTTACTCTGGGACATTGCCTTGCTGCTCTACCCTGATCCTCGTCTTTTCAGGAAGAGGATGGATGGATGAATAGCATGCAGGAAGCCATCACTTGAGTGGCTCCAAGTGCTAATGAGATTAGAGGGTCTTGTAAACCGCCTGTTTTTGTTGTTATTTGTACTGGGGATTGAACCCAGGGGTGCTCTACCACTGAGCCACATCCCCAGCCCTTTTTAGTTTTTATTTCGAGACAGCAACTTACTGAATTGCTGAGGCTGGCCTCCAACTTGGAATCCTCCTTCCTCAGCCTCCTGAGTTGCTGGGATTACAGGTGTGTATTTTTAGTTTATTTTTCACACAATGAAATTATTTAAACCTCTACCATGAGAAAATATATATGACAAAAGTTACCAAAATCAGGGCTGAGGATGTAGCTCAGCAAAAGAGAGTTTGCCTAACACTGGGTTCCCTTTCCAGGACTACAAAAACAAACTAAAATGTTACCAAAATCAGGAGAGAGGACACACCCTTGTAGAGCCTGCATAGATTAAATGGATGATGACATCATGAGCAGATGCATGCCAGAAGTTCTGACACTGATAATACACAGGAAAATTCTAGCACACACCATGCTTAGGCCCACTTGAGGGGGTAACACCCAGAGTAGCTCTGTACCTACTAAATAAATTTCCAGTCAAAACCTTCCCGCAATGGAAATATAAGGTCCAGGTGAAATCTACTGAGCACTTAAAAAGAAGTAGCAATTCTACAGACTGTGCCAGCAAACAGAAGAGGGGACACTTACCAACTCATCTTGTAGGGTCAGAATCACCCCTGCATAAGAAGCAGATGATGACATGACTACAGGATAAAACTACAGACCAATATCCTCATGTATCTACATGTAAAAAGTTCTAAGTGAATCTTAGCAATATAGAAGGATGATAATGCCTCTTGACCAACAGAGCACATCCTGACACTGCAGCATTGGTTGAACATAGGAAGCCAATCCACACATTTCCTGTTTTAAAGCAAACAAACATCTCAGCAGATGTAGAAGAGCTTTGACAGACCATTCGTGATAAAAAACTATCAAATCTGAAGAGCCTCTTGCAGTATAAGGACGGGGAGTGGCAGGTACACTGGCATTCAGCACACACTCTTCACGACAGCCCAGGAGTGGAACAGCCAGAGCTGTCGGTTAATAAAGGAATGGGCAAAGTTACACCAGGAGTACTACTCATCCACAAGGAAGAGCAGAGTACTGATCCCCACAACAGCACCGTTGACTGGAAGGTCTTGTGTTCCCTGAGCGAAGCCAGCAGGGATGTTGTGGGCTGTGTGGGCTGTTTATGTGACACGATGACATGTCCGTGTAGGCAAATCCATAGAAATGGGGTAGATTGGTGTATTGGGATCTGGAGCAGGGAGTGGTGTGACCAGTGGACAAAGGGTTTCTGTTGGGGTGGGAAGGTGTTAAGTAAGGTGATGGTCGCACAACTTTGTAGATATCTAAAACCTACTGAGTCAAGACTTTAAAAGGGTGATTCAGGGTATTGATCACACCTCAGTATAGATATCTTAATGCACAAGGAACAGACTTGCAAATGATTTGAAGTGACCAGAGTGGAGATGCTCAGTCTGCTGGGGCACAGTGCCAGAAATGGGCCCAAGATGGAACAGGTATTTCACCAAAGAATATAACAGGCTGATTAAAAAGACACTTGAGAATTGGTTACTAGAGGAATGAGCTTTAAAGTTACACTGAGGTGCTAACATACTACAGCAGCTCAAATTAAAAAGTCTGACTGCACATGAGCTTGGTAGGATGTCGAGGAGTTGGGACTCTGAAACACTTCTAGGGATATGTGAAGCTATAACCCCACTGGAAAATCTGTTTCTTCAAACGTGAAACCTGTGCTGTCCCTGTGGTCCAGCCCTCCAGTTCCAAGATGGTCACTCAAGGGGAGCCCCAGAAGCACGTGTACACAGAGCCCCCCTCATAGGGAAGGCATGGGGAACTTGTGGCATCCTTCTCACCAGAGGAAGGCATGGACTACTGATGCCATGGCCTGGACAGACCTCGAAACAGCCATGCCAACCACAGAGTGACTCAAGAGACCCATTGGCTGCTTCCACTGTCACAGAGGGAGAGCAGGTTGAACAGAGAAACCATAGGTAGATGGGGGTTGTCCAGCGTGAGTCACCAGGAAGGGCCGAGGAAGCCTGCAGGGTGGATGTGTTCATTGTGGATGGTGGATATGATGTCACATTGGTCAGAAGAAGGCCCATGGCTCAGTGGTAGAGTGCATACTGGTGTGAAGCCCTGGGCCCCATCCCCAGCACTCCATAGAAAAAAAGACCAGACGGTACGGTTCCAGTTTGTTGTATGTCAGCCATTCCTTAGTAAATGTGTAACAAAATGAGAAAGGAAATTTAATAATCTAATAATCCCTTTCTACTGATGCTGCACACTGGGAACTTTGCAGAAGGAGAAATGAAGTCCAGTCTGGAGCACAGACACCAGGCGAAGCCTTTTCTGTGTCTCCTCTGGGGAAGAAAGACCCAGCTCCTGCAAAAAAGTGTTGGGTGGCTTTCTGGAATAACAGAAAGCATGAGTTTTATTGAGTGCTTGCAGGCAGAGTGCAGGTACTCTGGCTCTAGCAGGGCACAGGTCCTGTTTGGGGGTGGATGACTGAAGCACAGTCACAGCTGTCATGCCCTGATCTGAGGCCCAGCTGGGTGTTTGTTCTCTGACCCTACTGTCTGTCTCATCATCAGAAAAGGCTGAAGGATCATCTGGAGCACCGGACTCACCCGATTGATTGTAGTTGGCCAGGTGTTTGGAGTGGCGATTTGAATCATGGTCTCTGATTGTCACACAGCAGAAGCTGTGCCTGTAGTGGGAACTTCCTTTGTAGAGGTGCAGGTCAAGACTGCCCAGTTGCCATGGTGACACCCTGCTTAAAGGAGGTTCTATGCAAGGCACAGGATTACCAGTCTTGACCCTGAGTTCAGACACCAGCTGAGAATTATGAGCTCAAGTTGATAATTATAATTGGTTATGCAGTACTCTGACCTTCAGTTCTGCATGCTTTGGAGAAACTTTCTTACAGACAATCCTTTTGATAATAAAACCTATGCAATGAACATGCTCAGCTAGCTCTGGGTCATTGTTCCTCCATTAGAGGACAGTGTCCCCCTTGATCCCAGCTTTCTCTGTATATGTTTGTCCTTTTATCAATTCCCCATCATCCCTCACTGGTTTTCTGAAGTAGCAGGCGTGCTTTGTTGCATCACACGACTACCTCTGTCAAGGTTACTCCAAGTGAATTTGAGGACTAAACAAAGACCCAGACCCAGAAAGTACCATTTCTTTGGATTCAGTGACTACTCCTCAGCCACAGTTCCCTCAAGGGGGGCAATGCAGGCAAGAAAGAGAGCAAGGATCACGTGCTGAACCCTTTTATTGGGGAGAAGCCATTCAAATGAGGTAGGGATCATATTTCAGGGAGTTGAGTCTAGCTTCATGATGTCTTGCTGTCAGCAGGTTGACTGACATCTAGGAAGGCCACGCCCATCTCTTGTGTTGTGTGGGGATCATAGACATAGCCAGTAGAAATATGCATATGTTGCCCACCCAAACAGAGGGGCATTGTTGGTTCAGTCCACTCTGCACTCAATGCTCATAGTTCACACACACAGCGCTTTTTTTTACCGAAGAATTATAGCCATGTAATTTTTTTATAAAACTCTTGTTTGTTTTGGTACCAAGGATTGAACCCAGAGGTACTAGACCACTGAGCCACATTCCCCAGTTCTCACTGAGTTGCTTAGTACCTTGCTTTTGCTAAGGCTGAACTTCATGATCATCCTGCCTTAGCCTCCAAAGCTTCTAGGATTACAGGCATGCACGTCCGCACCCAGGGAAACTCTTTTTTTTTTTTATTCTATATTTTTGAGTTTGCTGTGACCTTCATGGACATTAATTCCAGGGAGATAACCAGACTGGATGATGAGGGGATGGAGAAAAGACAGACACATAAATAGAGAAAAATCTGGGGCTTGGTGGTTCAGCCAAACTCTGATGGAGGAAGACTGACCATGACCAGTCTCAACATGTTTATTATTAAGTTTTATTGGAGCAAGGGTGCTTGTAGGAAAGTCTCTTCAAAGCAAGTAGAATGAAGCTTATAAGTAAGAACAGTCCAGTTATGGTTACCAGTTTGCACCCATAACTTTCTACCTGCAGAGAGCTGGCATCTGCAACTCCAGGTTAAGAACCAAATAGCCCTGTGGCTGGCATAGAATCTCCTATCGAACAGGGAGGGTGTCACCATAGCAACTGGGATATCTCAATCAGAACTTTCATACCAAGAGCTCTCCAGAGGGGCATTGCCTCTGTCACAGGACAGTTTCAAAACCCATGATTCAGGGGCTGGGGATATTTCTTAGTTGGTAGAATGCTTGCCTCAAATGCACAAGGCCCTGGGTTCAATTTCCAGCACGGCCAAAAAAAAAAAAAAAATTCAGTCTCTGCTCCCAACATGAGCTCATGGTTTTATGGAGAATTCACATCTGATCTTGCACACCTATGTGGGAGGCCATCCTCGCATGTGATTTGAGTTACCTCCCTGGCTGGGTGAGAGGCATTTAGACACAGCTGTGTTAGAGCTTTCCCCACCCTTTTCCAGGTCCAAGGGCTTGTCCCTGCAGAGGCATGCCTGGCCACTGCCCTGAAGATCCAGTCATCACCCCTGACCTTGGGATGCAGCCCCCCTTAACCTTCATTGGATGGGATTTTCCCTTGAATTTTTCCTATTCTCTCTCGCTAGTCTCTTCTGTAAACCTCAAACCGCATTAGGTGGCTGGAGGCGGGAGCTAGGAGAAGCTGTCCCATAGTGGTATTAAAGGTAATAAGAGTCTTGTCTCTTTAATTTAAAACTCCCTAGCATTTACTCATGAATCAAACCTTTCATGAAGCCAGCGCTGGTCGCATGGCAGAAGTGGTGCCCAGAAGTGAGGTGTGAATAAATTGACTAGGTTGAGTTAGGGAGCGCGCTATAGAAATACGGAATTTGTGACATTTTTAGGGTCACAGAAGTACCAGGCAGTTTTTGGAGAGAAGGGATGTTAAAAATTTTTTAAAATGGAGAATTC